TCAAACATTCAGTCCCGTGTTACAGATGGATCTTACCATCTAAGTGTAACCACGAGGTCACTGAGCCACTGAGGAGTGAGTTTAAAGTCAAACGTAAACATTACACATTTAACGTTTTAAAACATGACCATGGTGCGACCTTATGGCTTACGGTCTCAGATTCATTTGCTCTGTTTTTATCATCAACAGAGATGTCAGGGCTGCTTGTGAAATAAATCACGGAGTGCATGAAAGATCTGCAGCATGAGGCGGGAAATGCTCGCTGTTGCAATCCTGCTCGCCATTTTCACATGCGTATATTCAGATTTAAAGAAATCAAATCACAGCCTGATATGTGATGAGGTGTCTGTGTTTTTAGATCAGTGAACTTCACTCTAGTAATCATCTATATTACAGTTTTCGAGATGCAAAAAAATATCTGTCTCTGTGTTGTAACTGATGTGCCTCTGCCCCGCCCCCGTTCAGCTCTGCGTGACCTTTTAACGAGACGCTGACCCTCTGCATCTTTGGATTTGGTGTCGGTACATTAGAGAGATTGATGCCGTGGCATGTTGACATGAGAGACGCGTTGAAGAGGTAGAGTGACCTTGGTTTCATGCACAGAGAGCAGGAGGGAGGGAGCGAGAGAGTGAGGGAAGGAGGGAGAGAGGAGGGGAGAGAAGAGAGAAGTGAGAGAGAGATGGGAGAGGAAGAGGAGGAAGAGAGAGGGAGACAGAGAGGGAGAGAGAGAGAGAGAGGCTGACTGATGCAACGAGCAGGAAACACTACAGAATCTATCAGCTTATTGGTTTTTTCAGCCTTCGGTTCAGCCAATCAGAATGCAGCTCAGTGTGACATCATGAGTTTATATTTCTGGGGAACTTTGACAAATATTTGATGTTAATTTAGTTTGTTAAAGTGATGCTTCTTTCCCATTGAGACGGACCACAACAACAATAACAACACCTGTCAGCCAATCAGAACGCTCTAACGACTCCACCACTATATTTATTTATAGATATCATTCATGTTCTTAAGATGTGTAACACTTCCACCCAACATTAATTTGACCCCCAGCATCTCTTCAGAAGTTTCACGATTCATTTTGAAGACCGCCGACCTGCGAGCCTGAGTCCTATCACCACCATGCGACCCCGAGTCCTATCATCACCATGCTGGGGCGGATTAAAAAAAATTCTGTTGTTATTGTGACACATAAACATGAGCTGTAGGAGGAAGCACTGAGTACATCTCGTAAAGAGTCTGGTGGTCAAAAAAAGAAAAAGGTCAAAGGTAACTTAAGCCCCTTTTCACAAATGCACAAACAAGGTCTGCACGCCACCGCTACGACCTCCGTGAATGTTACTAAACTGCTGCATTTTGTTTTCTGCTCTCAGTTTGTTCTTTACAGTTCACGCAGGGCTCACTTCTTCATGAGGCAAGTTCAGTCTGTGCCTTCAAATGAAGACTCAAAAAGTCTTCACAGGAAGAGCATTCGCCTGTGTAAGAGTTTGTGTGTGTGTGTGTGTGTGTGTGTGTGTGTGTGTGTGTGTGTGTGTGTGTGTGAGAGTGTGTCTGTGTGTGTGTGTGTGTGTGTGTGTGTGTGTGTGAGAGAGTGTGTCTGTGTGTGTGTGTGTGTTTTTGAGTGTGTGTGAGTGTGTGTGTGTGTTTTTGAGTGTGTGTGAGTGTGTGTGTGTGAGTGGGTCTGTCTGTGTGTGTGCCTGCTTGCGTGTCCATCCTGTGGGGGTGTGGTGGTTGAGGTCACGTCCCGTTGGATGGATTGAGACGTGTTTGAGTTCCAGGTCAGTTCTGTTTCTGCACACTGAGGCCGACCCCATCTCACGTGATGTGTGCGCTCCGCTCTCTCTGAGGATCTCGTGCTGGAAAAGTCGGTCAGGAAACTCTGTGTGCGTTTTAAATTAAGGTTACACTCAGTCAGAGGCTGTAAGTCTGTGTGCACGGTGTCATGACAACAGAGGCTGACTGTAAGTGTGTGTGCACGGTGTCATGACAACAGAGGCTGACTGTAAGTGTGTGTGCACGGCGTCATGACAACAGAGGCTGACTGTAAGTGTGTGTGCACGGCGTCATGACAACAGAGGCTGACTGTAAGTGTGTGTGCACGGCGTCATGACACCAGAGGCTGACTGTAAGTCTGTGTGCACAGTGTCATGACAACGGAGGCTGACTGTAAGTCTGTGTGCAGGGCGTCATGACAACGGAGGCTGACTGTAAGTCTGTGGGTGCATTTTGTCATGACGATGGAGGCTGGTCGGATTCTGTGTGATGGGTCCTGTTTTCTCTCTCATGCAGCCCGGAGGCGCTTCAGTCTGTAGCTGCAGCCTGATCACAGAGAGACGGCTGCAGGTCAGACAGAGACGCTGCTCTGTGCCTGTCAACTGGGTCAACTGGGTCTCAATGCCAATCATTAAACAAACACACACACACACACAGACACACACACTGCATTAGAAGTCGGGTCAATCGGTTGAATCGAGCAGGAACTAATAGACTGGCTGTGACCGTACAGGAACTCAACCAGCCTGCTGATAAAAACAACCTCTACATATCGTAGCACCAGATTAAAAAAGTTATTCTTTACACATGTCGCTGAACTCATGAGCTGATTGGTTCACTTCAAAACTCCTGTTACTTTTGTTTCTGACAAACATCAGCCTGTAGAACTGCACAGTGCTGACGTTCCTCATAGAAACGATGCTCTGGGAGCGCACAGAGAGGAGGAGACGAGGTGAGAAGAGAGGAGAGGAGGAGATGAGGTGAAAAAAGAGGAAGAGACAAGGTGAAAGGAGACGAGGTGAGAAGAGGGGAGAGGAGGAGATGAGGTGTGAAGAGAGGAGAGGAGGTGAGATGAGAGGAGGAGACAAGGTGAGAGGAGACTAGGTGAGAAGACGAGTTGAGATGAGACGAGGAGACAAGGTGAGAGGAGACGAGGTGAGAAGAGAGGAGAGGAGGAGATGAGTTGAGAAAGGAGATCAGGGTCAAGTACATCAGGGTGGGAGAAAGAGAGAAGAGGAGGAGAGAGAGGATGATGAAGATGTGTGACGAGGAAGGGAGTGGCGGTGTGAAGGAGGAGTGAAACGAAAAGGAGGTCATGAGTGGAGTAAAGAGGACCACATGAGTCTACTGAACATGCGTTAAAGACCCTAGGCAGACCTGGAGATTCAGAGGCAGTTTAGGTGGATGAGCAGGTCCTGGTTCAGGAGGATTAACGAGGTCCT